TGTCGTAGGGACTCCAAAGCAGATTTTTGAGCATTTTGGGGGGATGTTTTAATGCGTTTTGGGGTCTTTTAGAGGGAGTTGAGGATTGGGAGGAGGGCATAGGATTTTGGGGGTGGGATTTCATCACAGATGTGCCCCCCTCCCTCCCACGCACTCTAACAAACCCCCCCTTTTAGGCAGTGAAGCGTTCTCACCGACGCCTGGGGCTGGCTCAGAAGCTGATGGACCAGGCATCGCGGGCCATGATTGAGAACTTCAATGCCAAATACGTTTCCCTCCACGTCCGCAAGAGGTGGGGACCCCCCCTCCCCCTCCATCCCCCAGAGCCTCCCCAAATTCCTATTTACAATCCTAAAATTGTCTCCCCTCCTCCCTCCTTTCTTCTTTTTTTTTTAATCTGTTAGCAACCGAGCAGCTCTGCATCTCTACTCCAACACCCTCAACTTCCAGTGAGTGATGGCTTTTTGGGGGGGGGAAATTTAGGGTATTTGAGGTCACCCCTGATGGTTTTAGGGGGTGAGGGGGGGTCTGGCTGTGCTGAGAACCATAAGGGAGGGGATAACAGCAATGTGGGAGGGGAGGGTTAATACCAACGGGGGGAGGGAGGGACAGGCAGCCCCAATAACCCTTTTCCCCCCTCCCCCCTTAGGATCAGTGAAGTGGAACCCAAATATTATGCTGATGGTGAGGATGCCTACGCCATGAAGCGGGACCTCACCCAGATGGCAGATGAGGTAGGACCCTACCTCCCCCCCTTGCCCCCATTTTGGGGTGATTTGGGCACAGCTCCCCCAACACCACTCCCTTATTTATTCCCCCTCCCCAGCTGCGCAAACAAGTGGAGCAGAAGGAGCGGGGACGACCCACCACCCTCAGCACTGGGGAGCCCCCCCGAGGGGGTGAAAGCTGTGGAACTGGGGGTCCCCCCCCACCGGGTGCACCCCCCCCAGAGGACAGCGGGGCCGACAGTAAGGATGTGAGTGAGGTGAGCGAAGCCACGGAGAGCACCGACGTCAAGGACAGCTCTGAGGCCTCCGATTCCGCCTCATAGGACCCCCCCAAACACTGGGGGGGGACATGGGGACCCCCTACTCCCATTTTCAAGGGGGTGGGAGGCAATAAATCCCTCCTTTTCCAGACTTTGCCTCTCTTGATCCCACCTACTGTGTAGAGAGGGGAGTCAGGGGCAATTGGAGGGGGGGAGTCTGGGCAATTTCAGGCACTGTGGGATTTGTGGGGTTGAAGTGGGGTTGCTGGGGGCAATTTGGAGCACGGTGTGAGAGATTGAGAAGCATGGGGAGGGGTCAGTGTAGGGGGAGGGTAATTTCAGGGGATTGGGGGGCAATTTTAGGACAAGGGTGGGTGTTTAAGGAGCAGTGAAAGGTCTAGGGGGAAGAGGGGGGAAATTTTGAAGAGTTCTGTGGTGATTTTGTGGGGGAATTGGGGTTTGGAGGCAAGTGGGGGGAGGGAGGGATGTGGAGGTTTGAGAGGCAATGGGGGGATAAGTTAGAAGGGAGGGAGGAGGGTAGGGGACAGTAGTGAGGGATGGGTTTATTTGAAGGATCTTGGAGCAACTTGAGGAAGTGGGGCAGAAATTTGGGAGGCAACTGGGAGAGTGGGGGGGTAATGGGGTGGGGGGGAGCAATTTGGAAGGGGGTGAGGAGTAAGTGAAAATTACTTGCGGGGGGGGAGGGGGGCAGTTGTGGGGGTTGGGAGTTAATTATGGAGATATGAGGGGCAGCTAGGGGGGGTGAGGGAATTTCGGGGGGGTTGGGGTGGGCAGCGGGGACAATTTGGAGAAGATTGGGGCAATTTGGGGAGTTTTCAGATCATTTCTCCCAACAACACAGAAAAGGAAGGAGTACTAAAGGGGCGTGGCTTCACCTGGCCACGCCTCCTCCGTGCGCTGATTGGCGACGAGGGTGATAGGCGGGGATAAGGGCGTGGCTTGCCCTAATCCCCGCCCTCTGATTGGTTGCGGCGCACCCTTGGGGCGCCGCCATGCGGGACGAAGAGGAGACGCCGCCGCCTCCGCTGCTGAGCCGCGCCGAGGCCTTGGCCCTACCGAGCGGCCGCGGGGACCGGAACCGCCCCGGGAAACGGAGCGAGGCCGCGGGGCCGCGCTGGCGGCACGCCTGCCACATCCTCCTCTACGCCCCGCTGCCAGCCGGCGGTCCGGAGCCTCGTTTCGCCATTCTGGTGCGTACGGGAGAACCGTAACGGGTTTAACGGGGGTCGACGGAGCCGCCGCTTCCCCGCCAACTTCGGCCCCGCGCAGATGCAGCTCCGTTTCGACGGGCTGTTCGGTTTCCCGGGGGGGTTGGTGGATCTCGGCAAGGAATCGCTGGAAGAAGGATTGCTGCGGGAGCTGCGGGAGGAGCTGGGCCCGGCGGCGGGGGAGATACGGCTGCGGCCATGGCACCACCGCGGAGCAAGGGCCTGGCCCGGAAGCGGAAGGAGGAAGAAGAGCGGAAGCGGAAGTGACGTAGGGCTGGTGGCGCATTTCTACATCCGGCGGCTGCGGCTGGAAGAGT